TCTATGGCGCACCCTCTTGCATTACTACACAATGAAATGACAAAACTCCGCTTTCAGTAGGGATAGAGGAAAGGGTTGAGTGAATGTTGCATTATTAGGAGCCGCCGCCAGTTTTTATCAAATTCTGTCAATAACGATCATAGAATCCGTCACACTTCGCCAGTAAAGGTTCCGCAGTTATCATTAAGGGCGTAGCCGGCCTCATGGACAAGGCTTTGTATGGTATCCGCAACAGTGGCATAATCGAGATAACTTTCCCTTTTGCAGTCTCAAGTCTCAATTAGTTATGAGTTAACACCCTTTATTCATTTCTTGCCCTTCATTGTACATAGCTCTACGATGTGAACCATGAGTCACAAGCTAAGCTAGTGCTGAGGAACTAGGCTCGCGAGAAAAAGGGAAAAGGCCACAACCACCAGAAGTGAGGAAGTTGAAATAGTAGTGTTGTTTTCTTAAGTAGTTCTGCGTTGTCCACGTTTCGAGCTATGAGCTGTACCACTGCTTTTTTGTTCAGAGGAATGAAAATGGGAAGATCATATTACACTATAATTTTTGCCACATGAAAAACAAGCCACATTAGTGGTTAAGTGATAAAGTGGGCTGGTTTGGCTCGGCTTAGTACCCACAGTCGATTCAAACATCTCGCTAAAGTGATACATATAGTAAATAAAAGCTGGCAAGTAAAAGAAAATCCTGGCTTTAATGGATCTGATATCGAGAGGGCCCGAATCTTATCGAGCATGCAGACTCTACTATTGCTTTTGAATAGTATGTGGTTGACTTGTTGGAGATTATCCTTTTTAATGTTGCCCTTCCAGTGCTCTCCATCATGTAATTATTCACACTGTCTTTTGCTATACCACTGACCTTTGGAACCGGTTTCCTTTTCATATTTCGTTGTAAAAGTGCTGAGAGAGTGCGTTTATTACTGTTTCCGCCAAGAAAACCGGGTCTCTAGTGTAACACTAGGATTCACCCACTCATTTCATGGAAGATGTGCTCAACATCCTTGACTCTCAGTTGTTTTAGAGTCCTTCTTCAATGAGGACGGTTTTTTCTTATTTCTCTCATCTATTTTTTGCGGCATCCAGACGTTCACCTTGAGTTTTCTCGGTGAGGTGTGTTTTCTCCTTCGGACGCAACTAATGGTTGCAATAAATGTAATTCAACCAGGTGATCGAGCTCGTTACATGAACCGACTCCTTTCTAAAAACTCCCCTTTTCGCACGCTATCCACATTTCAGAGATATCTTGCTAAGGCCACTACATGGGTAGCCGGAAGTCCATACTACAAGGCGAAGTTAGTTGTGTGAGCAACACCACAGTATATGTACTCTAGAGATTGAAAGGGAAGATTGGATCAAAAGGTTCTCTGATGAAAGTGAAGGACTAAGTATCGAAGGTCACCAACGGAGCTAACGCAAAAAACACTAGCGAACTGCTCTGATATATAAACACCCATAATCGTTTTCAGAGCACACTAACAAGTAGCTTCGGTATGAAAACAAAGCAAATCTGGAAGTGGCAATGGACACAACTTTGATGAGGAATAAGAAGATTTTTCCTACTGAAACTGATTTTGAGGATATTGAAAAGACATTGTCTCATAGTAATTTATCACCTACATATATCACCTGTCGTTTTATACCCAACTCCTTCAAGCGGAAATGAGTTAAGTTCTATCCGTCCCTCTCAGTGGGTCCTCCTTGCCGGAGGGACACAACGCATAATATTCCTTCCGCTCAAAGCTTCCAAGAAGAAGTCCGGTTATCCCGCTGACGGCCGAATTAATGTTCAGTCGACTTTGTGAAGGATCCAGATAGTGACCGCTCCAGTCTATCGCTCATCACACCCGGATTGCTTGGCGTAAGCAATGGCAGTCCTGATATCCGTTCGTTCACGAAGCTCAGGATTTCTCTCTGCACTGGCGTATCAAAGGAAATTCGTAGCTTCCGTTTCGCACAGCGTCCAAAGACGTTGGACGCATGTTCATTCCTCTTTCTTGAAGTCCAAGTCTAAGTGGCGCATGTCGAAGCAGGAATGACAGCATCGTCGGAAAAAAAGAGCGGACACAGACCCCTGTATCGTCACTACTACTGCCTCGATGTTCTTGAGGGTCCGCGTTATCTTCTGCTAAGTTTTGGAGCTAGATCGCTCGGTAATTTTACTTCTAGGCTCGGATGCAACTAACCAGAGCATTCAGAGATATTAGGTTCGTTCAGCTTAAGGGAGCATCGGGCATCAATTCGTTTCTCAAGATCGTCTTGGTGAGATTCAGTCGTAAGCCCATCTTTCCACAAACGTTGTCGAAATCTGCCTGCACGATGTTGGATCTAGTAGGCATGGTATTGTTTGCAAACCGTAGGTATGTATTGTAACTAGCGGAAGTTGCCTTCACTTCCAAATGACGCATGATTTTCTCGAGAGCCGCACCAAATAAAGGGCGAAACGGCAACGCCTTGCTGAATACCTGCCTTTACATTTACGACGGATTTTGGGTAGAACGACGAGATCCTGGTCGGTATGTTGTTGTTGAGCTCTTATGCATTGTGAAGCGACCTTATGTGTGTATTGAATGAGAGCACCCGAATCATCCAAGGTTCAGGTAGTTTGAAGGTACTGCTTAAATCTCGAAGATGTCCAAGCATTTCTTCAATCGATGAACGCGAGAAATAACGGTATCATGTACGCATGTGTGCTGATATGATATGAAACTAGTTCAATGAGAGTGTGGATGAGAACAACAGCACTGAACCCTCTCCAAAACCTTGCGTGTTTCCATGGCTGTCTTTTATTTATTATAATATTCTGTTGATCCTGTTGAGAATGAATTAAAAGAAAAGTTTTAAATTACAGTCAGCAGGTAGACTGGGCAATAGTTGCCGTTATCGTCTGGATTTTCCTTCTCATACAGCAACATAGTCTGTCGAGCTAAACATGAGGCAGGCACTTTGCAATTGAGCAGGTGCAGCGTAAAGAGTCTTGGCCAGGGTTTGGACGAAAACTAGTGAAGGCTTGTTAGATGTTCTGATCGGGACGGGTCCGACAGAATCCTTCATCAACGTGATAGCGTGACGAATTGACGAACGAGGAATAGAGGAATGACATATCAAGCCATACTAATATTGCACGAAGTCAGGTAGTCTTCGCTGTCGAAGAGTTACAAGTGCACGAAGGCAGGTAGTCTTCGCTGTCGAAGAGTTACAAGTGGGAGTCATTGACGGGTTTCTGCTTGAATTTAGAGATGCAGTGGCTCTTCTTTCACAGTGACAAAGAGATTCACCTTGGTCTCGTAGTAAGTGGTGCTCCGGAGGGCTTTGCCAATGCTCGATACGGTCTCGACGACTTCGGCTGGAACAGATGCTCTTTGCTTTTTCAGAACTTCCTTTATCGCTTTTAAACTTCGCAAAATCGGGCGATTACTGATGATTGCGTGTAGCTAGCACTTTCTACGTTGATGGGTCGGCTCAGTCTTTGAAGAGATTAGTCATATATAAATACTAATTGAGCTATGCATTATAACACGTGCATTATATGTCGTCGACCGTCAACGACGGAGTTATTCAGGAGAATGCTGGATTATTAGAATAAGATAGTTCTCTCCAGATCGAACGCTAAACTGTTGAGAGCATTACGCTCGATATATTTCATTTGAGCAGAATCATTAGAGTTATTAGTGGTTGATCATAGTTCCGTCCTCCTCAGTGCAGATCCTCTCCACTATAAAAACTTGACTATCCTTCTTTTGACTGCTCCTCACCATTTTCTCCGCATTCTAGAAAGTTTTTGAAGAGATGAACTTTTGGTCCTAGCTTCGCTTTCTTGCTTTCCAGCTCTGCCCACTCAACCACATTTGTTCCAATACCTCAAACCACTTTTCCCGTGTCTAGAACGTTTCTGAGCAGTTATAGAATTTTCATCTGAGCCCCCCACTTTAGTGCTAATCCCACCCATTTCGAGGATTTGACCACATCTGTTCTAATACATCTAACCATTTTTTCCGCATTCTAGAACATTTCCGGGCTAAGTTACATATATGCATTTTTGTGTAGTAGCATCTATTTCAACGTGCGCATCGCCCAACGTGGGCAGATCTTCGCTATTCTTACTCATGCCCAGCACGCATAAGGCCTTGTTCACTCTTTTTATATTTTTCCTTGACACCTCAGTCGAATCGAGTTATGAATCTCTGTGGAAAGCACTGCCCAGTGCGAGAGCGATCCGCCCACCGTCGGTAGGTTTCCTTTATTCTAATTATTGACCCATCCCTCACCTTTGCAACTTTTTTCCCGGCGTCTGGATTGCTATGAGACTGAACGAGAAGAATTTGCTCATGACCACTTGTCCTAAGCCCAACTCATCACAAACTTCACCTGACTTCTGCAGGTGCTTCTTCAGGTAACATCGGATTTCCATACGAAGAAACACACAGATAGACAGACATACAGACAGACGCAAGCGTTTTATATATAATAAGGATCGCGTCACGTAGGTCCGTTGTTAATCGGCTAGCGATCCTTCACCGACAACGATTCCTCATAGAAGGAGAACTGTGGTTTATAAACCACAAGCATATTGAATCTTTTTCACGAAGAAGTCGACACCGACCGATCCAACTTCATAACGCAATCGTATGAATGGCAATCTTTCACATAAAGCACCAATCAGGATTGCGGCATCCACGGCTACTCCTTACCTCGTGCTTGCATAGCTCAAAGCTAAAATTGTTCAGCGCTGTACAAGCCTTGTGTTCCTGCGTAGGAATGGCTGTTTTCTGATGTGTGGACAATTGACATTTATGCAGGGTCTTTGTGTTGTTTTCTATTATACATGGTCTACAGTGCAGAGCTCGAAAGACTTAATTCCAAAGAAGAAGAGCTCCATGGAAGCGACTTTGCCCGCATTATATCTCTCCTCACTTGTTGTTTCGATCTTGAATTGAACGCAGTTCGTGTTTGATATTCAAGCCAAGAAGCTCAAAGAATAAATTTCAGGCAAAGATGCTGCAAGAGGAACTCACTGAAAAAACGGTAACTCGCATTTCTTCATACAAAATTTTGCCTTAACTTCAACAAGCGATGTCGCATACACCCTTTCCCTATGGTAGTGACTTTGCCCATATCAAACGATGTAGTATGGCACCATTTTACGGCCTACTGGCCAGGGTTAGAAAGAGGGAGCACGGTTAGAAAGGGGGGAGAAAAACGAAAATGAATGAAGCAGACGATTGCTCGTGCCTGTGAACGGCTGACGCACTTGCACGAGCATGATCGGGGATTGAATACGGATCGTCTGAGTGGGCGATGTCTTTCATCTGCCAATGTCATTCGATTTTTAAGCGGTATCCACTGATAAAATTAACAGAAAACTTATTTCGTAGAAAAGATAAAAAAGACAGGTGGTCTCATCCGTTCTTCCCGCGTATTTATCTGATCGATTCACTTCTCTCATCCATGGAATTTGAATAACTCGGCAAGACCTTTAAAAAGGGTCGTTGAACCATATTCTTTCGCCTAGAACCTTTTCTAAGTGCAGGTCAGAT